ATGGTACCTCTTGAAATGGTTGAACATTAACCATTTCCTTTTGGTACAATGACTCTGTGTATTCCTTCCATCTTTTCTTGATGCATTTTGCATCACTCAGTAATTTGCCCAGTTAATCTTTCAATAATGAAAGTCGAGGCTTGAATTTTTTCTTCAGTTCCCCCTGCTTGAGAAATACTGACCGTGTTCTTCTGTTTTGGTGGGTTTGAATTCACGACATTGCTTATATGAGTCTACCATTACCGATATCTGGTTGGTTGTTTTCATTAAATTGGACTATTCCAGTGTCTCAGGAAACCTTTCTTTCCTGTCATGGGCTAATTTAGTGTACTGTTTGAAAATAATAAATGATGTAAAAATTTACTATGTTAAGCCGCTCCACGGGAGAAAGATGAGGCTTTCTACTCCCGTAAACCCTCGGAAACCCTGTACAGGGTCGCTATGGGTCAGAACCGACTTGAAGGCACTTAACAACAACAACAACAAGTCATAACAAGTTGCCAAGTTAAAACAAGAAGTTTCTACTTTAAAGCTTTGTCAAAGTGGTGTTGTTAAGTGCAGTGGAGTCGGTTCTAACTCACAGTAACCCTGTATAGAGTTTCCAAGGAACAGCTGGTGAGTTTGCACTGCCAGCCTTGCAATTAGTAGTTCAGTGCTTATAAGTTTGATGACCTGGCCCTTTGTTTGAATTATAATTTGCTTCAATTTCCTTGTCATTTCCAGAACTCAACTGGTGACTCTAAGGTTCCCAAGGCAGAGCCAGAGCAGGAAATGGAGCAGCTGAAGACACAGGTGGTTCGCCTGCAAGCTGAAAAAGCAGATCTGCTGGGCATCGTATCTGAATTACAGCTCAAGCTGAACGCAAGCGGCTCCTCTGAAGACTCCTTTGTTGAAATTAGAATGGCTGTAAGTTTTCTGAAAAAACAAACTACAAAACCCCGATTGGACAGTTGTAAAAAATATACTGCCATTTCTTTTTGTTGTTAAGTGCTGCATAGTCAGTCTTGACTTATAGTGTATAGTAGGGGGTGGTGTTGTTGTTAAGTGCCATCAAGTCAGTTCTGACTCACAGCGACACTGTATGGGGTTTCTGAGGACCAGCTGATAAGTTTGAACTTATGGTGTAGCGCCTTATCCTTAGCACCACACCAGGTGGGAAACTTTTTTTCTGCCAACCATTTGGGTATTTATAACATCACTTAATATATATTTATGTTGCTATGATAAAAGCTCCTGCAGTTGCCTTGGCAGGGCCAGACCCAATGATTGCGAGGCGTTATACAGCCATAGGTCAGATGTTTCCCACCCCTGCTATATAGGACTTCCAAGGATATAAATGTTTGCAGAAGCAGAAAGCCTCATATTTCTCCTGCTGCCACTACCAGTTGTTTTAACCAGAAATACAATAGATGATCCTAGATCATTTCCTCCCAGCCTAGAATGGGAGGAAAAGGTAGACCAAAACTCAGATCCCTATGAAAGGCCAGCCTTATTGCACTGTCAAAGACTAGAGGAATCCCTGAGACTATTGCCATGGGATAGGTAACCTTTAAACTTGGAATTCAGACCACTCCCAATGGTCAGTTATCACCAAATACAAAGTGACTCCTAAAATAAGTAATCTCACCTGTAAGAATTGTACTCTTGTAAACAATCATGTACATGACACCTAACAGTCGTCAACATGTGCCTGACTAAGATGAGAGAGTAAGGGGAGACCATCTAGATTACTGGGGACAACAAACAGAGTGGGAATAATGAGAGTGCTGACACATTGTGAAATATATAACCATTTCAGTGACTAACGTATAGAAATTGCTCAGGAGATCCTAATTTGATATGTAAATTTCCTCCAAAATGGCAATGACATTTTTTAAAATGGTGGGAGAATTTGTTGTTGTTGTTAAGTGCTGTTGAGTCGGTTCCGACCCATAGCGACCCTGTACACGGTTTCCAAGGGTGTAAATCTTTACGGGAGTAGAAAGCCTCATCTTTCTCCCGCGGAGCAGCTGGTAGTTTCGAACTGCTGACATTAAGGTTCACAGCCCGATTCGTAACCACTATGCTAATAGATAAATAAAATGTGGTACATACATATAATGAAACACTACTCAACCTGTAAGAGAAATTAACTCTATGGATGGGGCTTGAAAACATGATGCTGAGTGAAATAAGTCAGTCAAAAAAGGACAAATATTACATGATCTCACTTATATAAAGAGACAAGATCAGACAAATATATGGAAACAAAGTGTATTCATAGTTACCAGGGCTAAGAGGGAGGGAAACAGAGTGTTATTGCTTATGGAGTAGTGACTGTCAGTTTAAGGTGATAGAAAAAATGCTTTGCTCAAGGGTAGGGCTGCACAGCTGAGTAATAATGGTCTTGCTGCCTATAAATTGAACACTTCTTAAAACTTGATTGACAAAAGTTCTATGATATATTTACAACAACAACTGAAGAGCAGCTGCTGAGGCTGTTTATCAGACACCTACCTCATGGTATTGAGTTCATTCATTTGGAGGCTTAGGGTCATGGTTTCATGGGAGATCCCAGTCAATTAGCCTTTTGGCACATTTGGTGCTTCTGTTTTACCTCCTAGTTCATTACTAGTGCCTAGGGTCTTAACGAGCTTGCCATCCAAAGTACAGCAATTGGTGTCTGTTCTCCTGGAGCAACAGAGGAAGAAGGAGAGTCAGGAATAGGAGGAGGATGTAGATATGTGGCTATTTGTCTCCATGAACAACTGACTCCTTTGTAATGAGACCAGAAAAACAGAATAATGCCTGTAGAAGAATCCTAATCAAAAGGGGAGAGATTCTCATGGAATCTAGAATATATGGAGCCATGGAAGCTGGATGAACCCCTGAAACTATGTCCTCAGATAATCTTTAAACCTTAAACCAAAAACATCCCCTGAAGTCTTCTTAAAACGTTAGCTTAACTGGTAAAGAATGTGTGCCTTGATCATTGTGCTCTTATAAGATCTAGCAAATTGACAACAGACACTCAGAAAATTACATGGGAACCCTAGGGAGCAGTGAATATATGAAATGGGGTTGGGGGAACAACTTGGAAAAGGAAGTGAGAATAATTGCACATTTCGAAGAATATAATCAGTATCACTGAATTACAAGTATAGGAATTGCTGAATTGGTATGTATTCTGCTGTATGAATCAGGCTGTGAACTGCAAGGTCAGCAGTTCTAAACTACCAACTGTTATGCGGGAGAGAGATGAGGCTTTCTGCTCCCGTAAAGATTTACAGCCTCGGAAACCCTGTGCAGGGTCACTATGAGTTGGAACCGACTCCACGGCACATAACAACAACAATAACTGCTGTGTTTAGTCTCAACAGTTCAGCAACAAAAATAAAATGCTTTTGAAAAGAAAGAGCATTCCCCAGTTGTAGGCTGAAGATAGGTTATGTTGTCTTCTCCCTCTCTCCCAACATCAGGACCTTCAGAGAACTGAGTTTGAAGTCAGTGCTTTCAAACTCACATTTGTGTGCACCCCAAAATGAAATAAGCTAAGAGAAGTAGCATGTGCTGACACATTGCTGAGCACCCATGAAGCATCTGTTATGACCAATCTGAATGTACTGACAGTTCTGTTAAAGAATAAACCAAGTAGGTAAATCATTAAGTGATCTAAGCAACAAGAAGAAGAAAATTAAGGAGGAAAACTCAAGAATAACATCCAGTATCCTACACACACCACTGCTTACTTGTCTTTTGGTTTGTAGCACTGTGGTGGCTTGCATGTTGATGTGATGCTAGAAGCTATGTCACCAGTATTTTAAATACCAGCAGGTCACCCATGGTTTTAGTGGAGCTAAGACAAACTAGGAAGAAGGAGAGGCAGAATACTTCTAAAAGTTTACCTACTGAAAACCTTATGAAATAGTGGTGGAACATTGTCAGATAAGTGCCAGAAGAGGAAAACATTATGAATAACAGCAGAATATTGTCAAATATAGTGCTGAAAGATGAGCTGCTCAGGTTGGGAAGCACTCAAAATAGGACTGGGGAAAACTACTCCATAATCACCTGAAAAGATCACAGCTGCCAGGTCCTTCATTTGCTGATGGGGCACAACTCAAAATGAGAAGGAGCAGCTGCAAACATCCATTAATGATTGGAACATGGAATGTATGAACTATAATCCTAGCAAAATTGGAAGTTGTCAGAAATTAAATGGAGCACATAAAGATCAATATCCTAGGCATTAATGAGCTAAAATGGACTGGTATTGGCCATTTTGAACTAGACAACCATATAGTTTACTATGCCAGAAACGACAAATACAAGATGAATGGTATCACATTTATCACCAAAAGGAACATTTCAATAATTAAAGTTGTAAAAACTGCCCTAAATATAACATCACAGAGTGCTGCTTGTTATTTCTTTGTGTGTAAAGACTGCCTTCACGTTTCAGTCTCACTGCATGATAGACTTTTTCAAGACCAGCAACGTATTCATTGCAAACACCTTTTTTAAACAACAAAAAATGTGACTATACAAGTGGACCTAAACAGAGGGAATGCACAGGCATCAAATTGACTTCTGTGAGAAGAGATGGTGGAAAAGCTCAGTAGCATCAGCCAAAACAAGGTCAGGTGCAGATTGTGGGACAGATCATCAATTGCTCATATGCATGTTCAGCTGAAGCTGAAGAAACTTAAAATAAGTCCACAAGAGCTAAAATTTGACCTTGAATATGTCCCACCTGAACTTAGAGACTGTCTCAAAAGTAGATTTGATTTATTAGACAGTAATAACTGAAAACCAGAAGAGTTGTAGTGATGACATCAAGAATATCATACAAGAAGAAAGCAAAAAGTCATTGTAAAGTCAGGAAAGAAAGAAAAGACTGAAATGGATGTCAGAAGAGACTCTGAAACTTGCTCTTGAGTATAGAGAAGCTAGAACTAATGGAAGAAATAATGAAGTAAACGAACTGAACAAAATTTCAAAGGGCAGCTTGAGAAGGCAAAGTATGATGAAATGTGCAAAGACCAGGAGTTTGAAAACCAAAAGGCAAAAACATGATCAGCATTTCTCAAGCTGAAACAACTGAAGAAAAAATCATTCCAGGATTTCCTGGGGGAAAATATTGAATGATACAGAAAAATGTTAAAGAAAATAGACGGAATACACAGTCACTGTGCCAAAAAGAGCATATGATCAAGAACCAATGGTACTGAAGGAAGAAGTCCAAGCTGAACTGAAGGCATTGGTGAAAAACAAGCCTCCAGGAATTGATGGAATACAAATAGAAATCTTTCAACAA